CTCTCTCTTTCTCTCCTCTCTCTCTCTCTCTCTCTCTCTCTCTCTCTCTCTCTCTCTCTCTCTCTCTCTCTCTCTCTCTCTCTCTCTCTCTCTCTCTCTCTCTCTCTCTCTCTTCCTCTCTCTGTCTCTCTCTCTCTTCTCTCTCTTCTGTCTCTCTCCTCTCTCTCTGTCTCTCTCTCTCCTCTCTCTCTCTCTCTGTCTCTCTCTCTCTGCTTCTCTCTCTGTTCTCTCTCTGGTCTCTCTCTCTCTCTCTCCCTCCCTCTCTCTCTCTCTCTCTCTCAATCTTTCCTCTCTCTCTTCTCTCTGCTTCTCTCTCTCTTCTCTAATTTTTTCCTCTCCTCCTTTCTCTCTCTCCCTCTCTCTACACTCTCTCTCTCTCTTTCTCTCCTGTTTCTCTTTATCTCTCATCTCTCTTCTTCGGACTCTTACTATTCTCTCCACGGAGTACTCGCTCTTTCTCTCTCTGAGTCATTCTCTCTCCATCTTTTCTCTCTTCTCCTCCTTTCTCTCTCTCCTCTTCTTCATCGATTCAGTCCTCTCGATTCATCTCTCTCGTCCATATTATCGCTCCTCTCTGATCTTCGTCCTCTCCCCTCTCTTCTCCCTCTCTTCTCCCTCCTCTTCTCTCTCTTCCTCCTCTCTCTCTACTGCTCTCTCTCTCTCTCTACTCTCTCCTCACCTCTCCTCTCTCCCTTCTCTCTCTGCTCTCTCCCTTCCCTCATCCTCTATCTTCTCCCTCTCCTCTCCGCTCCCCCTCCCTCTCACCTCTCCTTACCTCTACCTTACCTCTACTCTCCTCTATACTCCTCTTACTCCTCCTCCACCTCCTCCTCCCTCCTCCTCCTCTCCCCTCCTCCTACTCTCCTCCGCTCCTCCTCCTCCTCCTCTACAAACACCACCACCATCAAATCTCTCCTTCATTTTCTTCACCTCCACTTTTTCCACCACCATCTTCCCCTCCTCCTCTTTCTTTACTCCTCCTCCTCCTTTTTCCTCGCTCCACCGTCCACTACCATTTTCTACACCACTTCCTCCTCCTCTTATATTCCATCCATGCATTCCCCATTATTCTCATCATTGTGTCTCTCTCATTTACTTTTTCATTTTTTCTTCTCATCTTTCGCCAAACCTCTACCACTTCCTCCTGTTGTTGTTCTCAATCCTTTTTTTCATTTTTCTCCTTCTATTCCCCCTCCCCCCCTCCCCTCCTCCCCTCACTCCCCCCTTTTCCCCTCCCTCCCCCTTTCCCCCTCCCCCTCCTTTGTACAAAAGGCTCAGAAATTATGCCACATTTTTCCCTGAAGCATCCCACTCACATTCATTGTGTATGTCTTTGTATGTGATATTGTTAATGTGTTGTTATTAGCAGCTTTATTATTTGTATGTTAGTGATATTGAAGATCTGAACTGAAGGAATCAGAAAGGATCTGATACTTGCATATCCTACATTCATGATTATGAATGCTTTGACATCATAAAGCATAATAACAAAAAAGTATTATCAATAATAATAATGTTTTGGAATCAGGTGGATATCATGGGCACTGGAGTCAGTCAATTTGGCGTGGCGTTCCTCTTGAAACACGTCCCAAATCTTCGCTCTCTTGGTGACTGCAACTCCGTCCCTGAAGCCCTGGAGATCCTGGTGGGCAACAAATCCCTTCAGCGCAGCTCCTTCATGGCAAGATTACGGAAGTATGCCAGGAGATTCAAGCTTACAAGGTTGGTGGTAGGCAGACACTCTGTGTGTGTGTGTGTGTGTGTGTGTTGTTACATATATATTTATATTTATTTATTTATTCATGTATTTATATTGTGTACTTTAACTTTAATTATAACAAAATGCATTGTAAGAAGTAAAAATTACTCCAAAATTGTGTATTACCACTTCCAGGGTAAAGGAGGACTGTGTTTCTGCCTCGAAGGTGTTGGTGGTTGCAACTCTCTGCCCAGAAATTAAGGACCTGAGTCTGTGGCACAGGTTCCGTGAGGTCGACCTTGACAGATTGAATGACCTTCATTTAACTCCATCACATTTCACATCTCACCTCATGCAGCTGCAAAACCTCAAGGTGAGTAATGCAACTGTCTGAAACACTTTCTTGCAGTGTAATGAGGTATGATGAAGGTATTTTATGCTGTAAAATGATAATATATATTTGATCTATCTTTAATTGTGTAAATACGTATCTGATTTTATTACTGTTTGTTTCCATTTGTGTGTGATCCTGTCTGTGACATTGCCAAGGAAGAATTATTTAAACTACTTCTCTTTAAAACTGAAGAAAAATATTTATTCCTTGCAGTTATTATTTATCCCAATGCACAATCTTTCAGCACCTGACGATGGTCAATGTGTCATCACGATCTGTTGCGGGGGCTATCCAGGCCTTGGGTTCACAGCTGACTGCCTTGACAGTCCAGTGTCGGGGTTTAGACGTTCCTGGAATCTTTGAAAACTGCACCAATCTCAAGTACTTGACAATGGAGGGAGAGGATTGTTCTGCCCCATACGAGGTACGTACTGAATGGGGAAGACAAGTTGAGGAAGGTAAGGAAAGAAAACAGGGGAATGAGTGTTAGGTGGATAAAGGATGGAGAAGAGATAGGACTGTGGAGAATATGTTTGATTCTGATGGACCATGAAAGGAGAAACATGGAGGCAAAGGAAGAAGCAGGAGAGGGGAAAAAGCAACATAAATTAACAGAATAGATATAAGAACGTGGATGAGTAGCTTAATGAAGACTTTTCTGAATAGGAACTCCCCAGTCCCTTGCTTGTTGCTGTCGTTTAGGGGTGTAGGAGACAGTAACTGAGGCCCAATGTAGGCAATCACCCCACTACCCTGGACCTCATCCCTTGTCTCAACTAATTTTGCATGGTCTTTTCTTCTCCCTATTTGCTTTTCCTTCTCATCTTCATCCCCTTTTTCTGTCCACTATTTAAGCTGTGAGAGGCATGCTGAAAGGATGAAAGGCTGGCATTGTGTCAGTCCCCAACACCTTTCAGGAGCCATGGGCACAGTATACCTTTGGTTGATTGCTTATCCCTTACTCCTTATGGGGACCGTGAGGGGTAGACCATTTCCTTTCCAAATTATTTCAGGCCCATCAAGGCTAATAAGATTTTCTTTTTATCCTTATTAGGAGTATTAATACTTGCCTCTTCATCAACTAGCCAATCCAAATTTGATTCTACTGGTTTCCCAACCCATGCCTCTCCTTTGACTATGGCTCCAACTACCAATACTAACACTCCCTCCTCTTTGATTTTCACTGACAATATCCATTCCAAACCACCCACCCAGGTCAATACTCAACCTTCAGAATGCACCCCTTCCTCTCTCCCAACAGTATTCACACCATCTCCTACTGGACAGTCTTCTACATTGTCTACCCCCTCCTCCCTTATTACTACTCTCCAGCCTTATTGTCCTCCTCCCCACAGTACCATTTCACTCCACTAGTTCACTCCACTCCCGCCCTCATCCTTCAACTGCTTCCACCTCTGCAAACCTTTTGAATACTCTCTTTGACCTAGCCAAGTAGGATCAGTTCTATGTGATTCCCCCTGCAGCCCCTTGGCAGTACAGTGCTACACTATTCCTCCCAGTGGTAATTGTAAGTTCTATACCAGTATTGCCAAAATTAGCTTCCATAACCGTGACTTCTCCCATGAAGTTTATATTAGTGGAGTGTGATCCCCTGTCAGACCAAATCGACCCATTCCTTGTCAGTGTCTGAAATGTTGGTGTTTTGGTCAACCAGCCAAGCACTGTTGCTCCACAGTCCACTGACCTCTATATGCCCAACCTGGTCATGACTGTTCAAATTGCTCTGCTCAGTCACACATGTGTGCCAGTTGTGGTGCCTACCATAAGGTATTTCATAGGGGCTGCCCTACCTACAATTTTGACCCTGAAGTGGCAATTGTCAGATTCAGACTTGCCATCACTTAGATGAAGTCAGACAAGAAACATGTAAATGAGGTTTTTTATTGACTCTGTTTTCCAATACGGTCCTTCACACTGCCCCTCCCCTTTCCTCCCAAGATGCTTCTACATCACTCCCTGTATCTCTTCCTCATCCCACTTCTACCTCCTTTCCTCTCCTAATAAAATTCTCTTGCCATTCTAAATCCAGACACCCCAATCTCCACCACTATTCCAGAAACTCAATCACTATTTCCCCAGTACCTTCTCCTCTTCCTCCTTGCCCAACTCATTGCACAAGACAAGCTAAATGCTCCACCCTGTCTTTTCCTACCCCATCATCTCCTCCATCAATCTCTCTCTCCACCCCTCAAACTTATCTTCCCTCTTCTCCCCCCATTAGAAAACATTTGTTTCTCTGACCTCCCCAACCAACTCCACTTCAGAAACTCTCAAATACATTCATAGCTTCCTCATCTTGACCCACCATGTTTACACCTTATCCATCCTCCAGTCTCTCTGCTTTCATTCCTTCTACACTCAAAGTACTGCTGACATCCATCCTCCTCCTACTCATGTTCTCCCTTCACCCCTTCCTCCTACTCTTTCCCAATGCATTTCATTCCTTCCTGGTTCAGCTGCATCATCCCCCCCTTCCTTCCCCATTATTGCTTCCACTTCCTTCTGGATATAATTCTTAGTCACAACCCCCCCTTTCCTTGGATTCTCTCCTTGAAACTCTGATCTAATTGCCTGTAAACCCTTTTCTACATTTTTATCCATACCTTACCCTACAGACACCCTTGCAAAATCCCACACTTCTTCCTTTGACATCTTTGATCACATCAAACTACCTTCCTGAAATGCTGTATGACTTCTGACATGTAGCACATTTAATCATCAACTAAACCCCCTCTTCTACCCTTTTCACTATTACAAAACTTTTCTGTATTGACCTTCGAGGTATAGCACATTTTTTTGGCTTCATAATCATTAACCATTAATCACCAATCAGAATGGGAAGGTGTTATTAATAATTATATTTCATTTGACAGTTCACAGTAAAAA